GAAATGTTTTTGGGTTCTTATCCCATTTGGGACCATATTTGACCAAGTCTTTCTTCACACTTCTAAACATTCTTCATGCAACTCTAACACTTTTAATCAATCAAATTCATTGTATTATAACATATTCGAACCCTAAACTAACTTTAGACAAGCCATTTAGTTCCTCAAAGCAATGTTTTTGGGTTCTTATCCCATTTGGGACCTGATTTGACCAAGTCTTTCTTCACACTTCTAAACATTCTTTGTGACTCTCTAACACTTGTAATCCATCAAATTCATTGTATTATAACATATTCTAACCCTAAACAACTTTAGACAAGCCATTTAGTGCCTCAAAGCAATGGTTTTGGGTTCTTATCCCATTTGGGACCTTATTTGACCAACTCTTTCTTCACACTTCTGAACGTTCTTCATGCAACTCTAACACTTTTAATCTATCAAATTCATTGTATTATAACATATTATAGCCCTAAACAACTTTTGACAAGCCATTTACTGCCTACAAGCAATGGTTGTGGGTTCTTAGGGCATCTCCAGTAGGGGTTCTGTTGTGAGTATGTCTTCATTAAAAAGTTGAAAAATAAATCAATAATTAGAAATAAACAGAGAACTGGTTCTCTTAAGAGAGGTTAAAGAACTTCACAGAACCCATGATGTGGACATTTTTCATTGGTTGAAATCTATATTTGATGTAAAAAATAAAACTCTTCTTTTCTTTAATTTCTTTTGTTTATTTTTGCCCAAAAAAATAAAACACTTCTCTCTCTCCTCTCAATCTCTCTGTATCGATGAAAAAAACTCCTTTCTCTCAATCTCTCTATGTCGATTTCTCTCTTTGAAGACACACGATTCTCTCTCTCTCAATTTCTCTCAGTCGATATCTCTCTCAATCGAGAATCAATTGAAGCGTTCGCTGAGTCTTCTCGCTTGCCGTTGACGCCGATTCACAGCCGCATCGCAACGACCGGATCCATACTTTGAAATCCAATCGGTATATTTTCTATCTTTTGCCCTATCCCTACCTTTCTCCTTTTGCTCTCTGAGATTCCATGTCCTTTGGGGTTGTAAACGAAGTATCAATTTTTGCATGCTCTGATTTGCGTCGGCCAGAGCTATAAGATGGATGGGGTCAAGGGTTTGATGCAATTTGTTTTGGTTAAGAGGAAGCGAGAAATTCACTTTTCATGGTAAGGGTTTTGGATATGGCAAGAAAGAATTGAGTTTTATCAGCTTTTTTGATAGGTTGTTTGGTCAAAGATCTTGTGCTTTTGTTTTTTTGTTTGTTTAGGTTTGTATGTTGCTTACTTATCTGGTAGACAATCATCTGATAGTGGATTTGGGAAATACAGTGAAGATGATTTCCATTCTCTTAGTGCACTTGCTGAAGAATTGGGAGTCGTTGATTTGTTCTTACCATATCCTTTTACTTATTACTTGATGAATTTGGAACCGTGGATAGATTCTATACTCTCTATTGTTCAAGTTATTTATTACAACTTATGTTCCTTAACTGTTGTATACTAATGAATGGCCAAGGCCTGTGAATTTATTCTTCTTTTATTGTTGATGATTTATGCTTCTTTTATTGCAGAGATTTAAATGTGAAGGCCAAGGCATGTAAATAAATCTTTACATAACGGTTTGGCAATGATCACAGGTGAGAATTCAATTCCTATTAGTGTAAGGTTAGTTTCTTTAGTGAATTTTCATTTTGGATAAGTATTTATTGATGATTTCTGATTTCATACTGTCATAAAAGCTGAGGACATGAAGCATGGAGATTTGTTCAGACTTGTATACATACTTCTGCTTGGGAGAGTGTTTTAAAAAATCACAGGTCAATTCTCATTTCTTCTCCCCTTGATTAAAAGAGCAAAAGTAGTTGAATTGGTTTCAGTTTTGGTGTTCACGTTTTGGTTCTCCTTTGTCATTTATTGATATTTATCTCTGATGAGTTATGAAATAGATTAGGTGATTAGGTAAGAGTTGAGTCTCTTTTATATATTAATGCTTTGTGTCTGTTTTATTTATTAATGATTTATGTCTGTTTTGTTATAAATGTTTTGCATAGTGCTTTTTGTTATCACTGTTTGTTAGAAAATGATTAGGAATGTCTACATCATAGTTATTGACTGTTTTGCTTAATGTTTGGTAGTTATATGTACAATCTGTTTAATGCTTAGGTTGTAGTTATATATGTACACTATGTTTTATGCTTGGTAGTTTTCAGAGTAGGTAAAAAATTTATTTTCACATTGATAACAGAAACCAAAACTGTAAACAACCTACTTAATTAAACCTACCCTTATATAATGAAGCCTTCATTAGTTTCAAAACACATACAACAAAAACCACAAAATGAATCCATATTCTCCCTCTCCTTATACGCCCTCTCCTTATACTCCCTCTTCTGGCTTCATGGAACTATTAAATAGTCAACAAGATTCTGAAACCCATGAAGTCAGTCCTTATGATGGTGTTTCACCAAGTATTGAACTTGGTGAATCACAAGTTCATGTGTTCAGTACACAATGTTCTGATGCTCCAAGTGAAGGTGACTACACACTTGAAGACCGAAGCTCAAGAAAAAAACTGGAAATCAGTTGAAGATCTTGTGCTCATAAGCGCCTGGCTTAACACAAGCAAGGATCCCATAGTTGGTAATGAGCAAAAGGCTCAAGCCTTTTGGATGAGGATTGCATCTTATTATGCAGCAAGTTCAAAAGTTGCTGGAATGCAAAAGAGAGAGGTTTCTCATTGTAAGCAGAGGTGGGGGAAGATCAATGATATTGTTTGCAAGGTTGTTCGAGCCTATGAGGCTGCAACAAGTCAGAGATCAAGTGGACAAACTGAGAATGATGTGATGAAGCTGGCATACGAAATCTACTTCAATGATCAGAAGAAGAAGTTCACACTAGAGCATGCTTGGAGAGAGCTGAGACATGATCAAAAATGGTGTTCATCTACATGTAATAAAGGGATTTCAATGGGTAAAAGAAGAAAGTGCCAAGAAGGGTTAGTTCAGTCTTCAAGCTCTCAGCCACCAAGTCATGCAGAGGAAGAGGAAATGGCTAGGCCCTCTGGTATTAAGGCTTCCAAGGCACAGGCTAAAAGGAATGTGACAAATCCAGCCAATGTGGTAGGTTCATCTACATCTCAGGTGGATTTTGAGAAAATGTGGCAGCTTAAGCAAGTAGATTATGCTGCTAAAGAGAAGATGTGGCAACAAAAGCAAGCAGATTTTGCTGCCAAAGAGAAGCAGAGTAAGCATAAAATGCTTGAAAGCCTCCTTGCAAAAACAGAGCCGCTTACTGAGATAGAAATTGCCTTACAGAAGAAGCTGATTAATGACATGTTGGATGGCTAATGACAGTTATGTTTGACTCAATTTATGCTAATATCAGTTTGTGTTTGTGTCATTTTGTGTTAATGTCAGTTTAATGTTTTAAATCAGTTCATGTTTGTGTAATATTATCAATTCTCTTCTGTAATGGTTTCGGTTTGTCTTTGTGTTCTTCAAACAGTTTTTGTTTTATTGTAGCTGATGTTTGTGTAATAAGTTGTAATTGTTTCTGTTTGTGTAATAGGATCGAATCTGTTTCTATAAATGTTTTTTAATCAGTTAGTTGCTTATCTGTTTGTGTTCTTGAATCTGAACCTGTTTTGAATCAGTTTGTAGATCAATGTCTGAGGTTGGATCATTTTGTGAGTTTAACAAGATCTGTTTCACTTTTTTTTTGTTTTTACAAATTGCTTGAATAATGGTGTTTGGACCTGGATTGATTATGATCAAATTTGGTTTTGTTTTTCCTTGGATGCAGTACGTGAAAGCATCAATCATGCTTCATCTCTAGCTCAGTACTTTAAAGATGAAGTGCCACGTCTCCACCTCCAATACCCGTGAAGAGGGATAGAACATTGATTCAATCTTGGAAATATGGGACAACTTTATGTATTATGAGGACCACTTTATGTATTATGAGATGCAAACATAGTGGATTTCTTTGTATTCATTTTTTCTCTTTACCACAACTTTACTAAATGTGTCTGTCAATAATGTATCTTTTTTTGTTTTCTTCTATCTCACACCGCTAATATATTCAACGTTTGTACACCACAACATTTTCCACGATTGAATCACTTCAAATTTTCCTATATAATGTCGCAAAGCATAGGTTCAAGTTATCACAAAACAAACACTCTTCTTATCACCTAAAACGAACACTCGTCATATCATATTTACTTTTTCTCGATCTTCCAAATTAGTCTTTTCGAATATTTTCTAAATAAGTCTTTTCTAATATTTTTCAAATTAGTGTTCTCTAATATTTTCTAAAGTAGTCTATTTTAATATTTTCATATCTCTTTATAATACTTAGCTATAATAAAAAATGTCGTCTTCTTCCGATGATACTTTTGCCGAAATGTTAGACGATGCTTTTGATAATGCCTTTGATAATGCTTTCGATCAAGCATACGAAAACTTCTTCGTTCATCATGGTGATCATCAAGAAGCAACCCAATCAAAGAAAACACGACGTTATATTGAAAGACAACGTGAACAAGGACATATCCGCTTATGGAGCGATTATTTCAGTGATGATGCAATATACCCTCCCGAGCTATTTCGACGCCGTTTTAGAATGAACAAGTCCTTGTTCATGCGTATTGTTGATCGACTATCAACTGAATTTCCATTCTTTCAACAAAGAAGAGATGCAACCGGAAGATTTGGTCTCTCTGCACTACAAAAGGCTACAGCAGCAATTCGTATGATGGCATATGGTTGTGCGGCTGATGCGGTTGATGAATACCTCCGCCTTGGTGAAAGCACTGCAATAAAATGTTTGGAAAATTTTGTTGAAGGAATCATATATTTGTTCGGAGATGAGTACCTGAGAAGACCAACAGCAGAAGATCTTCAACGACTACTTGATATTGGAGAGATACGAGGATTTCCCGGGATGATAGGTTCCATCGATTGTATGCATTGGGAGTGGAAAAATTGTCCAACCGCTTGGAAAGGACAATATACACGCTGATCTGGAAAACTAACAATCGTTTTAGAGGCTGTAGCTTCACAAGATCTCTGGATATGACACGCGTTTTTTGGACCTCCAGGTACCTTAAACGATATAAATGTTCTCGATCGCTCACCAGTTTTTGATGATATATTAAAAGGTCATGCTCCCAAAGTGAATTACATTGTCAACGGACACGAGTACCATCTTGCTTACTATCTCACTGATGGTATTTATCCAAAATGGGCAACTTTTATTCCATCAATTTCAATGCCACAAAGTCCGAAAGCATCCTTATTTGCTACACGTCAAGAAGCTGTTCATAAAGATTTCGAGCGTGCTTTTGGAGTCTTTCAAGCTCGATTCGCAATTGTAAAAAATCCCGCTCTGATTTGGGATAAGGTAAAAATAGGAAAGATTATGAGAGCATGTATCATATTGCACAATATGATAGTAGAAAACGAACGAGATGGATACACTCAGTTTAATGTATCAGAATGGGCTCAAGTAGAATCAAACCGAACTTCACAAGTGGATTCCACGTATTCTACATACATGCCTTCAAATCTCACCAATTTGATGGGCATTCGAAATCGAGTTCGTGATCGAACAAAACATCAACAATTGAAAGATGATTTGGTTGAGCATATATGGCAGAAATTTAGCACACCTGAAGATTAACTAATCGTTTTTTTCATTTACGATTTGTATTTTTTTTTTACATTTATGTCATGTTTTAAATAAATTTTTGAATTGCAATAAGTTTTTTTTTTATAATTCAAGTTATATTTATAAATTTTAACAAATTTACTTCTAGTTAAAATATTATGAATTTTTAAAAATCTATATATATATATATATATATTTTAGAGAACCCCAACTTGAGAACTCAATCATTGGACATACATAAATTAAATAAATTTGTAAGAGGTTCTCAACCAAAAAATTTTCAAAATTATTAATAAAAATATTGAACAGAACTCATAATGAGTTCTCTTAGATGGAGTTGGTCTTATCCCATTTGGGTCAGATTTGACCAAATCTTTGTTCACACTTCTAAACATTCATCATGCATCTCTAACAATTGTAATAAATCAAATTCATTGTATTATAACATATTCTAACCCTAAACAACTTTAGACAAGCCATTTCCTACCTCAAAGCAATGGTTGTGGGTTCTTATCCCATTTGGGACAAGATTTGACCAAGTGTTTCTTCACACTTCTAAACATTCTTTATGTATCTCTAGCACTTGTAATCAATCAAATTCATTGTATTATACCATATTATAACCCTAAAAACTTTAGACAAGCCAATTAGTGCGTCAAAGAAGTGGTTTTGGGTTCATATCCAATTTGGGACCTTATTTGACCATGTCTTTCGTCACAATTCGAAACATTCTTCATGCATTTGTAACACTTGTAATAAATCAAATTCATTGTAATATAACATCTTCTAAACCTAAACAACTTTAGACAAGCCATTTAGTACCTCAAAGCAATGGTTTTGGGTTCTTATCCCATTTGGAACCTGATTTGACCAAGTCATTCTTCACACTTCTAAACATTCTTCATGTATCTCTAGCACTTGTAACCAATTAAATTCGTTGTATTATAACATATTCTAACCCTAAACAACTTTAGACAACCCAATTAGTGCCTCAAAGCAATTGTTTTGGGTTCTTATCCCATTTGGGACCTGATTTGACCAAGTCTTTCTTCACACTTCGAAACATTCTTCATGCATCTCTAACACT